TAAGAACAAACTAATGCTGCTTCTTTAGGAGTTGGAGTCTCCATTTCATTTACAGCTAAGATAAATTACAAACCTAAAGAGCAATGTATAAACAATGGGTTACAAACACTAATCTAAGAATGACATTTTATCAATAATTCTAAAATAACTCTTCGAGAAATATGTTAAACTTCAAACACTAAAATAAGTGCACACAGAACATACTTTTTTGGCTGCAGTTTTTCCATAAAAGACTCTTCTTTAATATATCCATCTATTGGGCAGTATCCTTGTTTTGTATTTATAGTTGTAGCAACCTTAGGATAAAAGATGAAAGTAAGAAACCAGAAAGTCACTCAATAAATTCTGTTTATCCAGAATTCAAAAAACTAGTGTGTCATCCATAGATAAAGTTGAAAATAGCTCTAAAGATCCTGAAATCCTCTTTAAATCAAAGAAAAAGCAACATTTACATGTTTTTATCCTACTTTATTTTTTTAAAAAAATCATTTAATTGGCAATTAATTAAGCAGAACATTAACTATACTTCACTCTGCTACATTTCTAAAGGAAATACTTGGAACAATACTTTTAAAATTCACTGTAAAATTTTTACAATGCTATTTTAAGGTACGTACAAAACTCTAAAATACTTGGGAATAACTATAGTAAGAAAAATACAAGCTCTAAGAAAAGAAAACAAAAAACTTTATTGGCAGTCATAAACAAGAACTGAATAAATGGAGAATTAGGTTAGGGTCTTGAAGACAAAGATTTAAAACCCTAAAACACAACTGATATAAAATTAATACAATTCTGAAGTTCGTATGAAAACATAATGAGCAAGAATATAAAATTTTTAATATAACATTCAGTGGAGATTTATCCCACCAGAAAATAAAGCTACTGTAATTAAAACACTAAGGTAGTGGCACAATACAAGTCAACCCTTGAACAACGCAGGGCTTAATGTGCATGTAATTTACAGCTGGCCCTCTACATGTGCGGTGCTTCTGCATCCACGGATTCAACCAACAGCAAACCATGTAGTACTGTAGTATTTATCTACATAAGCGGACTTACACAGCTCAAACCTGCACTGACCAAGGGACAACTGTAAATGAATAGAACAGAGCCCTGAAACAGATCCACAAATATATGGGAACTTCATATAGACTATAAGGGGCATTTCAATTAAATAGAGGAAAGATTGATTATTCAATAAATCATGTGGGAAAGTCAGCTAATTATTCTGAAGAAGAAAGTCACATACTCACATCATATAAAATATAAAGGGATTTAATACTTACTTTTAAAAAAAAAAGTATTGAAAAAAAAGTACTGTAACTCTGAGATGGAAAATCTGCCTAATCAAAGAAAACCTAGAAGCCACTAAGGAGGAGGAAAAACAATTCAAGAAGGAAACATTTCTGAATGGTAAAATGTAATAAACAAAATTAAAAGTGAAAAATTGGGAGAAAACATTTAAAATACACAGGACAAAGTGTTAATATCTCTATCACATGAAATAGTCTGACAAGCTAGAAAAAGACAATTCAAAAGAAAAGTATGGAAAGGACCAAAAAGGATCCGTTAAAAATCCTCCCAGAAGAGGAGCTAAGAAGTCAACATATGAAAAATTGCTCAATTTCACTAGTAGTCAGGGAATTTCAATTTAAAACAAGGAGATACCCACTTTTTGTCCATTAAATGGTCAAACATTAAAAAAAATGGACAAACTCAAACACGGATATTTTTTAGACCTGGAAACTAACAGAATCTGCAGATAAGATTTTTTTGGTGGGAGTGGGTTTCAAGAATTGTGCAAAGATATGGTGAAAAATTTTGAAAACCACCTAAATGTTTTATCATAAAGAGATTAGTTAAGAATTACAGCTCTTATGTACCATAGTTTATTATATAGTCTTTGAAAGTACTGCAGCAACATGGATGGACCTGGAGATTGTCATTCTAAGTGAAGTAAGCCAGAAAGAGAAAGAAAAATACCATATGATATCACTTATATGTGGAAACTAAAAAAAAGACAAATGAACTTAATAACAAAACAGAAACAGACTCACAGACATAGAAAACAAACTTATTGTTACCAGAGGGGAAAGGGGGTGGGGGGAAGGGATAAATTGGGAGTTTGAAATTTGCAGATACTAACTACTATATACAAAACAGATAAACAACAAGGTTCTACTGCATAGCACAGGGAACTACATTCAATATCTTGTAGTAACCTATAATGAAAAAGTATGAAAATGAATAAATGTATGTATATGTATGACTGAACTATTATGGAGAGATTGACACAACATTGTAAACTGATTATACTTCAATTAAAAAAAAGTAATGTAGGAGACTCTCATGAGAATAGGTTAATGCTGCTAAGAAAAATAAAGCAGACTACTAAATGCGATAGTCTCTCATTTAAATATATACCTCTGGTGGGAAAGAGGATGTTCTGGGAAGGTTTTAAGTATAAGGTACCAAAGATAGTTATGTATTATTAGGTTATCAGGGTAAAAGTGTTACTTTAGGAAAATCACAATGGAGCAATTGTTATTTTTAAGAGTGTCCCCTCAGAACTGAGGACTAAAACTTATATTTCTATCTGCCTCTTCATTTATGCCCTTTTGGCCTGGCATTTCATAGTAAGAGCTTAATGTTACTATCAACAGATTTGATACAGGACATTTCTTCCAGAAAATTTAAGAAATTATTAAATACAACTGATTTAAAATATTTCAGTTAAAACTGTGTAAAGATTCTTAACTTCTAACATTTTTTTTTTCACTCTAGCATCTCTACGAATGTAAATTTGATGACACACAAAGGTTGAGGGGCAGGGCAAAGTTCAAAATTTGCTTGCATGGTA